CGCGTTTAGTGTTAGGGTCGCTCGTGGTGGTTTTAGTCGGTAGGCTATGGGCGCGCGATGCCACGCTGAGGGTGGCTCCTTGGATTTCGGTCCTCTGAAGCGCCCCTCGTAACGGTGGTACGCGTGCGCGTAGAATCCGACACTCCCCTTCCCTACCACAGGGCGGGGTGTCTTTCGAAGATTTCCACCACGTAAAAAAAAAAAAAAAAAAAAAGTAGAGAACAATTTTTAATTCCTTTCAGCAATTACATTTCTATTAAGCGAGAAAGGTCAAGAAACATTTCGACTATATTGCAACAACGTCGTAAAATTAATGCAATATAGCCGAAATGGCTTCTTGACTTTTTTTGCTTAATGGATGAAGTCACACTGCATTGCCACGAGTCTCAATGTGGCTCGAGACTCTTATCTGACCCGGAGGTGGTGGTGGATTTTGCGGCCGGAACAGCAGGAAAAAAAGTGGTGAGTGTAACTGATTTTTACGTACTATGTCACTTATGTCCAACAATGTTCTATCTCTTCTGTCTTTACTTAATCAAATCGTTCATTTGAATATTTCAGAAAATAACGACGCAGAAGGTGACATCGGAGCAGCGAGGGAATCCTGCGAAGCTGATATCCCGAGCAGTCTGAGAGGAGGAGGAGGCCTTGGATAGGCATCGGGCATCGGCGTATCAACACTTCTGGTAAATGTTACTTTTTATTTTTTTCTAAAGATATTATAGAATCTGTCTTTTTGTTTGTGCTTATTCAGTTGCTGCATTAAACCGTGTTTTAAAATATAAATTAGTAAAAAGAAATTATTTGAAAAATTTGATTCAAGTTGATTCTAACGATTCTAACGACCTTTTTGCGAAGAAGTAATTTGAATGTGTATTAATCTGAATAACGAACAAAATGTTCAATGCGCGTGACAATTATTTAATCGATTCGATTATTTTTATGTTACAGAAAATATCCACGCTGGAAGGACCATTAGCTTCGCATCGAGGGAACACGATGGACATCTCGAGCAGCCTGAGAGGAGGTGGAGGCCTAGGAGAGGCATCGGGGATCGGCGTACTAACACTTCTGGTAAGTTGTTATTTTTTATTTTTTCTAAAGATATTATGGAATCTCTTTTTTCGTTTGTTTTTATTTAGTTGCTACATTAAACAGTGTTTCGAAATATAAATTAGTAAAAAGAAATAAATTGAAAAATTTGATTCAAGTTGATTCTAACGTAGAGACTTTTTTCGAAGAAGTAATTTAGGAAAACATTAATCGGAATAACGAATAAAATGTTTGATGCGCGTGACACGTATTTAGTCGATTCGATTATTTTTATGTTACAGAAAATATCTACGCGGGAAGGAGTATCTTCGCATCGAGGAAACAGTAACTGACATCCCGAGCAGCCTGAGAGGAGGTGGAGGCCTAGGAGGAGGCATCAGGCGCCGGCGGAGCAACATGCGGTAAATATAATTTATTTATACATATACACATATTATATCTTATACTGATGGGTCATTTACTTTTTAACCGGATAGTTATTCAGAAAATAAAAGTTAAAGAAAAAGTTTTATTTTAGAAATTCTATAGAAGCTTATGTTCAATGGATAGAGTATTCTTAAGAAATTACAAAATTATTTCATTAAATTTGCTTAATAAACAATAATATAAAATTTAGTGTTTATATAGTAATCATTTTTTGAAATATTGATTGTCTCTCTCTCTTGCATCCTGTTTTAATTCGGATTCTACATTTCTTTGTTACAGAATCATCGTAGCGACGTTGCAGAATAACTCCGCTGTTGCGCATCGGTCGGTGAGTGATGATTAAAATTTTATAATTAAGGTAACGAATTTATGACAATTATGTCAAAATTTGACATTTATCTGAAAATTAAAATTATAAAATTACGATTATATTTTTCAAAATTATGAGATACAAAATTCGTAATAATTTTGAAGAATGTAGTCTTAATTTTGTAATTTTAATTATCGTAATTTTTTTTTTTTATTCAGATAAAAGAAGGACCATGGGGAGAGCCCATATGGTCTATTATCGTAATTCGTTATTAATTGGAATACGCAAGATGGAAGCGCGGCCGCCGCGACCAGAATATCCCCTCCAGCTGGCTAGTTCGGACACGAACCATTAGCACGGACGCAAACCATGTGCGGTTACCGAGCGATACGACGTAGTTGAGTTGCACTTTCTCAGGCGGCGCGTCGGAAAATGCAACACAGCAACACACGAAAAAGGCCGGGATGGCCTCTCTCAGGTAGGTCGAGAAGTCGAGACGTATATCGAATCGATAATGTCGATCATGTTGAGCCATGTCGACACTGTCGACAGTCGAGTATTATACGTCAACAGTTTCTGTCAAGTTTTACGAGGTTCTGGAATTGCCGATTTAATACGCGCACTTAAATTTAATTACACGGTCTAGTACTTACGCGTAAACGAGACACGTGCGATTATGTCATTATTTGAAAATCTCTGTTGCAAATAAAATCATGTCTCAGACGAAGGTAATTCCACATAACCTCATTAAGTGGGACCAGAACGACAATTCTCTGGCCCCGTTGACAGAGTGTCAAAAGGATTGCTTGACAAATCTGGAGATCGTTGTGACTTCGTTCTTCCCGTTATCGAATCTACAGTCCAGCGTGATCGACGGCGATGAGAAGCTACACGAGCAGAATTCTCAGGAGAATACACCCCCGATAGAAAGGTATCAGGAGTTACTTCAGCATTTCTTGCTTCTAGAAAGGAAATACGTTTCCATGTACGACATGAAGTACAACCTGTACCTTGAAGAGCTGAAATCGAGGAGGTCCGAGTGCCAGGACGTTTGTTCTCAGATAGAAGAGACGTTGGACGATTTCTCTGCGCTCTACAAGCAGTATACTGAGGTTTCCAGCAAGACCACCTCTCTGTACGAAGCCAGCGAACAACTCATCTTCGATCAAAAGCAGTTAAATGCGACAATCGACGGCATTACGGAGTACGTTAAATATTTCAAGGAGATCGACGTGATTACAGAGAAGCTAGACGCGTCCACCTTGTCGGTGAACAGCGAAATGTTTTTTTCTATATTAGATAAAATTGACACAAACATAGATTTTATGCAAAACAACTCGTCGTACAATGAAAGTGGGACTTACCTGGTGAGATACAAGCATTGCCAGTCGAAGGCGATTGCGTTGATACAGAATTACATCTCCAACTTGTTCTCTAAAACCACTGAAAGCATTTTGAACTTGAAGGACAATGAAAATTCATCGGAGAACACGGACGCGGCTCTCGCTCTATTTTATGGCAGATTTCAGACGATCTTGTCCAAAACAAGGCCGGTTATCAGGCAAATTGAAAGCAAATCGTACAAAAGGCAGGAATATGACAGCTTGTTGCTTGAGTGCCATCAATATTATTGGAGTCAGCGAGGCTTGGTGCTAGGTACAAGCATACAAAAGTCTCTGAATTCCATAAGAGAAAAATATAACGGCGACCATTGCAGTTTAGTGCGACATTCTTGTGCATTACTCTTGCATGCGTCGATAGACGAACATAAACTGTTCTACGAATTTTTTTCGAAACAATCAAGCGGACTGACCGCATACCTGGAGAGCTTGTGCACTTCTCTGTATGATGCATTGAGACCTTTCATAATACACATTAATCATCTCGAGACATTGGCCGAGATTTGCTGCATTCTACGAATAGAGATGCTCGACGAACACGTGCAGAACAACTTTGAACCGCTGGAAGGCTTCGGAAACATTTGCTTACAGCTGTTGCACGATGTTCAGGAGAGATTGGTATTTCGGGCGCATTTATATCTGCAATCCGACGTACTGAATTACAATCCTTCGTCAGGCGACCTGGCGTATCCAGAAAAGCTGAAGATGATGGAAGAAATAGCGGAATCGATCAGGGAAGCGAATCGCCAGACCCGCATGAAGAGGATCTCCGTCTCGTCCACTGACAGCTCTGTCCTAGAACCAGTTTCTCGAAATCACATAGTTATCGATTCCATTTATCAGAAGACACACATGGGGAGTTCTCCAGCGGATCTGCACGCTATGTGGTATCCCACGGTACGCAGGACTCTGGTCTGCCTGTCGAGGCTCTACCGTTGCGTGGACAGATCCGTGTTCCAGTCATTGAGCCAGGAGGCCATTTCCCTCTGCGTCCAGAGTATCGAGAATGCCAGACAGGAAATTGAGAAGAGAGCGAGTACATTAGATGCAGAATTATTTCAGATAAAGCACTTGCTGATTCTTAGAGAACAAATTGCTCCGTTTCAAGTAGATTTTACTATCAAAGAATATAGTTTAGACTTCTCTAAAGTGAAGACCGCTGCATTCGGGCTGCTCGAAAAGAGTTCTAGGTTCTTTACCCTGTCGAACAACGCGTTATTGCAGTTTCTTTTGGAAGGTGCACCACAGATGAAGGAGCAACTTATCGACTCGAGGAAGCATGTGGACGCAAAGTTGAGACTTACGTGCCAGCGATTAATACAACACGCAACTTATTTATTGATTTATCCTATTATTAAGTTATTGGAGAAGGAAAAGTTGCTCGATGCAAGCTCGATTCAAGAAAATGCCCTAGGAAGTCCGCAAGAGATAGCAACTATAGTAGCCGACGTATTGAGGGTAATTAAATTCAAATGTCCCGAGATACAGCAATCGATGCAGTTATATTTAGCTAACAAAGAAACTGAATTTATTCTGTTTAAACCAGTGAAGAATAACATTTGCGCTGCATTCACGCAATTGCATCAGGTATTGAATAAGTATTATAACGCGGAGAACCTTCTGTTGATCGCGTGTCCTTTGCCAGAACATATTTCTGTTATGTTGAGTTCAACAACGTTAATTCAAGGAAAGTCAAATCGAGAATCGCAGTCGGTTCTGAAACAATCACAGTCACTTGCTAAACAAGAAGATTAAATAACGTAATTTTGTTTATTCTGTTGTGTTTTCAAAAATTAATTGTTGAATAGAGTATTGATATAAATTTAAGTAAAAAATGTGCAAAAATAAATCTTTTTTTATGTTAGATTTTATGTTATTTTTTATATATGTATATAATTTATATAATAAAATAAACTTTCTAAGTAAATTAAAGTTAAAATAATATTGATTTAAGGTCAAATAAATTTTAGGATTAAAATGAGGTGAGAGAGAGAGAGAATTTTTAAATCTAATTGTGTGTGATCATATGTAATTATTCTGGCATGTGATATAATTTTTGTAATAAAATAAAATTTTCTAAGTAAATTAAAGTTAAAATAACATCGATTTAGAATCAATTAAATTTTAGGATTAAAATGAGAAGAGAGAGAAAAAGAGAGAAAATTTTTATGTAATTTATCATATGTAATTATTCTGGCATGTGATATAAAATTATATAATCTTATCAATGTAAAATATAAAGTAATATGAGAATGTGTATGTAATTAAGTTTAATTTTATATTTCCATTATTATTATACCTAATTAAATTAATTTTAAGTAAAATATAAAATTTAGTAAAATTAAATCTTGCTATTTATAAAAAAGTGCTACAACAAAGTCACTAGATTTAATATTTTTAAAAGAGGACAAAAGAAATACAATTTATCCATCTTGAATTTTTTATGCTGTAAAATTGCGCTATAGTAATAAAGGTATAATGAAAGTGTACAACAATTTAATTTCTTTCGAACACTTTTCTATTAGCTAACTGTTGATATTCTTCAATTGTCATATTATTAATAATTTTAATACCATTGACTAATATTATTACTTGAACCATGAATATACAATACAAACATATAATAATCTAAATTATTATCATGCGCCATTGCGTTTCCATTGCATCTTATGAGACGATGTATTTACTGAAACATACATTCAAAATATATATTAATAAATATATTAATAAATTCAACGGTAATTAAAAATTTATTATTTTATTAAAAATTAAAATGTATAATATATATTTTTAGCTAATATATGTATATACATATATTACAAAGTGAGTTGAAAAATGTTGAAGAAAATTCTCTAAATTGTTAAAATTTCATTGAATGCGAAGTAAATTAATTAAATTCTTATCAACCAAGTTTATCAAACTCCGAAAAATTTGTTTTTTGATAAAAATTGATTACTAATTGCGTAACAGAATTTAATGATTCTACGAAATTGTTTATTTTTGTAATGAGAGAATATATGTATATTAATTTTCTGGATATGTACACTTACTTATTTGTGTATATTCTTATGTGTATTTGAACTATGGCACATTCGGGGTGTAAAGCAAAAGTATGTAAGAAAAGAGATTATCATCGCCATTATCAATACAACCCACATTATCCAAAATAATAGTAAACGAAATTTCATCCAAAATGGACTAGAAACGTAATGTTTTCTTAGATTTTCTGCCTCGTCTGAAATAATAAACAAAGTAACATTTAATGTATTTTAATATATTCAAATTTCGAAAACTACTCTATTTCTGTATAGCCGAATCAAGAAGCTATTAAGTTCTAGAATTACATTTGTATCACTTTTACGAGAAAAAAAAAGGAAAATTTAGTTAAATAATGATATAAATATGATATAAAGCTCCACAGACCTTTGGGATATTTCCTTCCCGTTTTATCAATAATAATTAAAGGGATGGCATCATAAATTGGATTTTCTTGAGCAAAAGCAGATTTTTCCTGAAATTCCATTGTGTTATATCCTCTTGTTCAATATATACAATAACACAGTAATGCACAAAGAGAAACGTCTAAATTTAACACTTTTAACTGAATTTCATTTTGCTTCGTTCTCCATATTTACGAACCTGTCGATACAAGGAGATAGTTATTTTTATAAAAGATAAACGATATAAAGGAAAGATACAATATATCTATACGACACATAAAACTTAATAAATATCAATAGGCTATATATACATTATGTATAATTATTATCATTGTGATTATTCGTCACTTATTTTTATTAATTGGAGAAACGCACTGTTATTACATCGATCAATTCGGGAAAAAAGGAAGTTTAATTCTATGCGACGATATTTTCTTCGACTGCATCACGTTATGGCAAGAATTCATCAACAGATTCTGTGAAAGTCCAGAAAGTCGTGTAAAGTTTAAAACAATGCTGAAAGATATCTAGATTATATAGATATCATTTTCTTTCACATTAATTATTACAAACCGTCACTGCGGGCACTGCACTGTAATAAAAACTTCTGTTTCAGTTCTTCCTTCGATACATTTTTCAGTCAAGTCTATAAACAAACCCGATAAATGTTGACGCATCGAACTCTTTGCAAAGAATAGATCTCCAAACATTTACTGCAGATATTATTGGCACAAACTCGTTGGTATGTGATCCGTTCGTAGTCACCTGATGATCTCAAGTGACCTCCATGAACATCTGGTTTTTAATAACTTTAGCTTTTTTTAGCTCGATATGAGTCATCGTTCAAAGTGGTCTCTGCTTTGCTATTATTGACATATAATCCTCTTAATTCCTGTCGATCCAAATCACTTTTTATCGAGGGGTTCTTAAGTCACTGAATTCTTTCAGATTTTTTATGGCACCATTACAGCTTGAAAATCTTAACTGGCGTAAAAGACCCACTTGTTCGACGAAAGCAGCAGAATTACACATGTTCTGCGAAGGGTTAATAATTCATTAACAAAAATGCATGATGACTATAAATGATGTAACATTATCGATATAATTAAGTTACGTTTTATAAATAGAATTGTGAGAATTTTGCAGTAAAAATACTACCTTGAAAGCACGACATATTTCCTAAGGGAGGGCCCACTGCAACGTCTTGAAATATTATTCTTCCTCAATTCCATATCAAATGGCAAGATTACACCATAATTACAACATTTTCGTATCGAAAAGTCGGAAAGTGTCAGCTACGCTATAGTAAGAGTCGCTATAAGTTGTTAATAACTGTCATTAATTTTACCAAGCCATATGGTGTGTTGCAAGTATGCAATTATTCGCAATGCCTCATCAAGAACTTCTGTCGCGAGTTCGCTTTGTAATACAAAATACAATCTTCCATTATATGAAGGGATATTTACAAGACAATATATTATATAATGTCCATATTAATATTTTTTATAACATATTTTTTTAAACTATAAAATATCGTGAGGTTTGAGTTTTCGCTAAATGGGTTTGAGTCTTTGCTAAGTAGGGTTTGAGTCCTCGCTAAGTAAGGTCAGAGAGAAACCTGTAAGGTTGTTGCATACCTCCCGAGCGCATTTCTAGACGTGTTAAGAGGTTAGGGTGCCTATGATATTCCTGGCGCCGGGTGAATGCAAGAGCATGTGGCAAATTTATTCAGACTTTCGGTATCTTGAATTAACAACGTGTGTCGCGTTATAAAAAGTTAACACAAAACATTATTATATAATATAGTGATTATGAAAATAATTATTCAATGAACAGTGCATGACATTTGGAATAGATTTTTCAAAATAAAAATGTTGCTGAGTGTTGTACAGTTATCACTTAGATCGATTCGCGGCGCAAAACTTTTGCGACCAGCCGATTTAAGATCGACAATTAAATGCGGATATAGTTCTGGATGGAGTAGTCGAAGACCTGTTGCTATTGTCAATGAACACGAGCTTTTGGACACTGATGATACATCGAAAGCTGTTGAACAAAAAACTCCTAAAACACGTAGGAGGAGACCAAGAGTCAATACACGCGAAGAGAAAAAGAAAGATAAGAAGGAAAATGAAATTAAAGAAGGTTCTGCCACAGAACAAAGATATATAGCACTTGATGCAAACGATAAGCTCATCAGGTATATAGTTTTTCTAAATAATGCTCAAATAGCCTCTAGAAAGTATAGTCCTACGAATAATACTGTTTGTATTTCATGTTTCAGCTCATTGATGATAGATATTAAAACGAAAAAGAGAAGAGAAAAGACTCGTCAAATGCTACTGGAAGGCTTTCGATTAATCGAAGATGCGATTCAGGCAGGGATAGTGCCAAAAGTAATATTTTTCAACAGATTGTCCGACATACTGCCGCTGTCGCTTCCCAAGGAAGTAAAACTGTATAAGATTCCGTATCGTACGATTCAATTGTGGTCCAACTTAACAACTTCGCCTGGGATAATTGGTAAATATTTTGATTTTATATGATCTCGCAAAGGAGACGACTGACAATTAGCACAATCTACAAAAAGTAGATATCTGTATATAGTTAATGCAATTTTTTTGGTACAGGAATCTTCGAAATCCCAGATATGGACGATAAGGAACCTGCCAAGGACGCTATACCTTTGACTATTGTCTGTGACAATGTCAGAGAACCAGGAAATTTGGGAACTATTATAAGAGCTGCTGCTGCAGTTGGTTGCGAAAAGTTATTATTAATGAAAGGTAATTTGCACGATTACTAATTTTATAGTCTGTAATTTTTCCATTAATCTGGATTTTTCTTGCCTTATATAGGGTGTGTGGATTTGTGGGAGCCCAAAGTTGTGCGCAGTGCTACAGGTGCACATTTTCGCCTACCAATAATTACGTCCGTTTCATGGGATGAGATTCCAACGTTGATAAATGATGAGTCTGCAATTTTTCTAGCGGACAACAATATAGCGTATGAAAATGATTTAAAAGATACGGTTAATCAAGAGTCAACTGTAAGCACTTCCATCGAAGGCAATGATAATTATACAAAACAAGATTATGTAAATGCGAACGACGATCAAACTGCTGAAGATAACGCGATAGACCAACTGACAAGTCAAACCAACCAATATAAACAAACTGCAAAAACTAAATTGCTAGTAAAAAAATTAATATCTCAACTTCCAGTTGAACCTTACTATACATTAGATTTTACAAAAAGAGAAATGGTACTTGTTATTGGGGGTGAAACCGAGGGTGTTAGTCTCGAATCATGTAAATTGTTACGTGCAAGAAATTGCACTCGTGTTAACATACCATTGACTAACGGCATTGACAGTTTAAATGTTGGTGTGGCTGTTGGTATTGTTACATTTGAAATGAGAAGACAGTTTGTAACTCGCAAAATTGATGATGAATAAAACTATTTCTAAATATATATAGGTAATGTTTCTTGTAACTAATTATTATTATTATGTAATTTGACCAAGTATTTATATAGACTTAGAAATTGTAGCGAAAAATATTGGTGTTTTATGCTCAATTTATTGCAACAAATATTTACTGAATTATCGATTGAATAGTCAAAAATAAAAAACTTTATAATAAATTTTATAAAACTAATTATCTAAAAATATATCCCATACTTTCAAAGATTGTTGAATTATATCTGATTTGTGTGCACGGGCGCGCATGTGTGTCTTTGTTTTATAAATATTTCATGAATTGTACATTTTAGTGCATTATATTATCTGCTATTTGAAACACGATAAATGAGATAATTGTAAATAATTAAAGATATTAGCATTTTTCGTGCTACGTTTTTCATGATTAACAATTTTTTTACTGACTGATATAGTGAGGACGAGTTTAAATGACATACCGCATTTTCTATGCTCGTGCTCTGTCGTAAAATAAATGAACTAATTACAATTATATCGCGAAAGTGTAATCATTAATAATTTCACATATGTACTAAAAATTAAAGTTTTTTCCTTAAATAAGATCTAATAACTTTAGGTATATAAATTATAAGATACCTAAAAACATGTACACACACAAAAGATTTTGTGTAAATAAGTTGGAAAAAACATCTATTATTTACCAGGTAGAATAAATTTACACCGATATTTTTGCGCTATAATCGGGTGTGTGTCCGAGAAGGATATTTCATTCGCACCCTCGATTGGTGCGCACCTCTATTGATTTTTATTACTTGATTTACATATAATCGCTCCAAGCAGTTGGGTTCAATATTACTATCGATTTCAGTTAACCAAGTCACACACACACGTACATCATATATCTAACATCAATTTAGAGAGCAGTTATAATTTTCATAATCATAGATATCGACGATAGAATGATAGAATGATTGGTGAGCGATTGATAATCTCGACGTTGTGTATGGACAACATAAATTGACATTTTGTGTGCGATACGTTGAACATAATTACAATTAATATGTTACATTTGTTTCACTTGTTGCAGGTTACGTGTGAGAATAGATCGTGGAATGCAAGCAGTTATATTTACCTTGAGCATTACTTTTTCCGGACCAGCAGTAAACGTAAATTTGCACGAACATACAAATGGTGTACATCAGCAAAGTCGCAGTCCCGGACTCCGAAATATGCCGGTATGTAAAATACACTTGCATTTCAAGATACTGCCGAAGAATTGAACAAAGAGCACTTGGTTGAATATACTGTTTTGACGTACCTGTACCTAACGTCGTATTAATTCTGTATTTTAAATGAGAAAGTGTCTTATCATTACATATGGTTTTTCAATTCTTAAAACATTAAGAATTAAGGAAACTCTAGCATAATTAGTTTGGTAACGTTATACCTATTACATTGTGCTACACATTGTAGTTACATTTACTGTGCGTGCGCGTGCATGTCATCTGCTTGCGTCAGTGTTTGGATAATCGGAATAGGGAATAAGGCTGAAGTAAAAATGTGTGGAAACAAAAGTTATGAGATTTAGAATTTCTAATTTATCCAAAACTACATCATTATTTATATTTCACTTTTGTAACACGTTAAATACTGAATAAGACGTTTTTAGGATCTGAAAGGAAAATTAAAAGAAATCTTAATATAGAAGATAAAACATTTATGAAAATTTTAATTGTATTTTCGTAAGTACGCGACAAATATCAGTAATATCACAAACAGCGTATCTCGTTAATATGTCAAATATCACAAACAGCATATCTTCTTAATATGTCAATATTTATTTTGACACCAAAGTAATAATAATACTAACGTTACTGTAAGACTGAAGGGATAGAGTTATCAAGAAGCTGCTCGTGAACTTTATAGGAATAGTGCTACGCATCATGATCATGAGCAATCCTTTTTTCTCTCTGATTGATAGCAGTGGCCAATCTGTACGATATATAGTGTCTCCTATGCTCGTACTCTGCCAACGTGACACAAATAAATTTATTATTGCATAATAATACCAAATAATTTTATTAATATTATTAATTTCACACACACAAAAATTAAGTTGTATATAAAAGCACTCGCTATTTTCCATTAATTCGGTAAAACACATCCCTTTGGTACGGAATATTTTGGTAAGAATTATGGAGTATAGAAAGTTACCTTAAGTATGACTTCGTTTCCGGACCAGCAGTAAACGAAAATTTGTGCAAACATGCAAATCGTATATACCAAAAAAGACACAAGTCCAGACAGTTCCGCAGTATGGGTTGACAAGTAATATACACATGTACATAATACTATTATACTAGAAAAAAACTGAACGAAGAGCACCTGGTTGAATATGACGTTTACCGTTTTCGCGAATCTGTAATGGTTTCATGTTAAATCATGCATTGAATGCGAAATTACTGTTATAATATATAATTTTATAACATAATTCCAATAATTTTAAATATTGTGGGAAATGTATCTTTTAGCATGCGTCATTTACTGAAAGAAGAACTACTTGGTTCTAAACAGATACTTAAATTTTATTTTTCTGCACAATCTACCACGGAATGACAATATAATTAAATCATTTTGCGAATACTCTGCTTTCGAGCTCATAATAATGGTCTATTAATTGCAATTAATAACGTTAATTATGTTATCTTTTGATTTTAAACGATTTTTCATCATAAGCATCAATCATTGTTGTAAATAACAGCAGTTCTTAGACATGAAAATTAAATAATGGACACGCGCATGCACACATACACACGTACATAAAGAGGCGACTGAATATATGCATAAAAACGGATTCTTACGTGACTCACTTGTAAATGCTGAGATGATAATGTACGCATTCCGATATCCCTACTTCGTTCTTATTCGACGTCGAAAGTGTATGTCCCAGATCTTTAACTGTTTTATTAATTATAAATTTGTGAAGACGACTTTCGAAAATTTCAAGTTGGGCGCACGTTTGTATGAGCAATCCGAGAACTAGAGTTTCCGTCCCGACATTTATGATACAGGCGAAAAGTAAAGTTAAGATTTGATGAATAGATATAATCCAGAACACCAGAGGTATATCGTAATTCCATGGTAGCCATACTCGATAAGGTAAATGACCATGCATAGCATTTAATATTGATCCTAGAGTGAGGCCTGTAATGGAGCCCGTCGCCAAAAAAGTGTATCTTAACGTAAACGTTCTGCAAACATAGAACCGATATTAAATTGTATAAACGCACAAATTATTTGTACTTACAATGTACAGAAATTTATCATTACAAATTTTTAATAAATATACGAATTCACCTGATAAACTTATCAAATTTCGTTTGGATAGCTACTTCATCCTCGTTTCGAGGTTTATGTGGTGCTTTCAACAACAATTGCACTATGTTGATGATCGCATTCCGACGCACAACAACGACCGTCGCTTTACAACAAACAGCAACAATAGTCAAAAACATTAGAGTATTAGCGGTAAAATCATCGATATTGTCGACAACAAGTACTATATCCATAAATTGAGTTATCATCAAAAAGTATTCCGAAGATACTATAATAAAGGTAAATATACTATACAGCAGCTTGGCACCATCCGATGACCATTCAACAGGTCGCCATATACCACCAACGGTATACATTGAAAAATGTAAAGAAAGTATTTGCATATTTAAATCTCTTCCTTTACAAACAACTTATCAGTGTGTTGCACAAAAGCATAACCTCTTTCTACATGTAAAGCAATATCTAAAAAAGTAGTTTGCAGAATTGCGAAAAGTATATCTTTTTTTAATTATATTAATTATATGTCCAGGCGTGTAAGGTAATTATGAAAAAAATTGAATTTAATGCAGAAGGTAATATGTTATATAAACAGATTGCGTGAAGTATTAAATTCTGCAACCTGATTAAAATTTCAAACACTAAATACATGAATAGATTCGATGAAGAAAAATTTTATACACGTTTAACGTACATACCGATCGCGTCCAATGTTATCGCGGGTAAAAACTGAACAACCTTATTTAAACGGAATGCAATATACGATACGTGAAAATATAACTAGAAAGCAATATTTGTAAGCATTTATAATCACGCACCTTATTTCGAAATATCGGTTCCCCAGAATTGTGGCTGATAATGCAACAGAATTATAAAACAAATACATTGATACGACACATGTTATTTTATTATCGTAATGGTCAATAAATTTCACTTAAATGTAACCGAGCACGTCTTGCGACAGACTGTGTATAATTTTACCCTCTTCAGCATCTTATCAACTCTACTACAATTACCGCCATTAAAAAATCGACATGAAGTCATTTAATCATTTATTATGGAGTGCACGTTCTTTTCCGTTCTTGCGAATACTACAATTATAAAAGTTTTCCTAGTTGCAATTATCGAGGGATGTTTTCCTTTCACGTTGTCATATTCCCGTTGAATAAAATATTTGTATGTCTCCTGTCCATCGGAACTACGAAGAATATCATACCTTCCGCATACAGTTTCCCGTTTTATTACATAAAAATACAAGACGAGTGTAGCGATAAGAATGTGATGCATAATATACTCAGTGTCAGAGCATATTTCTCAAGTTGCTTGTATATCTGCGAGGTATGACGAGTGTACAGGGGAACTACCATGTATTAATTCTATACTCAGTACATCACATGTAGCAAAGCCTGAGAAATTATTCTTTTCTGACTTTAACGCTAGAGCCGAAATTAGTGTTGCTTATACGTCATTATTTTTTCTTCATTTTGCGATGCAAATGAATATTCCATATACTTGATTGTCTTATTAGTTACCAATCATTCTGCAGATGAAGTAACGAATAAAGTGTTTAAATACTTTCCAAGTTAACTGTCACACATCCGCTCGCCAAGTATGACGGGTGAGGCAGAAGACTGGATTATTTTTGGTACGACCGCAAAAGAGTGTCGCAGGTAACGGTATAAGAAGACATTATATTTTTCATGTTTAACTGACGCTCGATTTCTTGTTATATGTATTATACCTATTACATTGTATGCATGTTATCTGCTTGCATCAGTGTTTGAATAATCGGAATAGAAAATAAGGCTGAAGTGGAAAAATGTGTGGAAACAAAAGTTATAAGATTTAGAATTTATAATTTATTCAAAACTACATCATTATTTATATTTCACTTTTGTAACACGTTAAATATTGAATAAGACGTTTTTAGGATCTGAAAGAAAAATTAGAAAAAACCTTAATATAGAAGATAAGGCATTTATAAAAATTTCAATTGTATTTTCGTATCGTGACAAATATTGATAATATCACAAACAACGTATCTTCTGAATATGTTAAATATTTATTTTGGATACCAATGTAATAATAATACTAACGTTACTGTAAGACTGAACGGATAAAGTTATCAAAAAGCTGCTCGTGAACTTTATAGGAATAGTGCTACGCATCATGATCATGAGCAATCCTTTTTTCTCTTTGATTGATAGCAATGGCCAATCCATATGATATATAGTATCTCCTATGCCCGTGCTCTATCAACGTAACACAAATAAATTTTACCAAATAATTGTATTAATATTATTAATTTTTACACGCACATATATGTATGCATGAACTATTATCCTTATGAAGAAAATTGATATTTTTTATATACACGAGCGTCGAATCCAAACTTGCTTGACAAATTATTTCCCAGATTATCTAGCAAAAACTTGTAAAAAATTGAACTGCAATGTATAAAAGCACTCGCCATTTT